CATCTTTGATGTTGTATTTTCTGTTGTTAGGAGTGCAAAGAAAGGTCTTATGACTGAAAATGAGACGGAAAGTCTTAAAAGGGGTAGCATATTGTGTTTTGACAAATATAATGTATGCTGGTTTTGTCACCTGTTCCTTGCACATGCCAAGCATTGAGGCTAACATTATTTCTTTTCTCAAAGACTTACCTTAGTGTTGTTTGTAGTGTTTAGGATGATTATGAAGTCTTGGCTTTTTTAAGTTAGACAGGGTAAAAATGGCTACTTCTTTCTTAAGCTAATTTGCCTCAATTCGTGCTATGCATGTGGGAGACCAAAGCTTGTTTTCAGGATGGTGTAACAAAAGTTTTCAGTTTGTGTTGTCCCAAGAAGCAGTTATTTTTTTAAATTGTAATTCAAACATGTTAAATTAGGTCAACTTGAACTCAGTGAAACTGTTAGCATTTTAATAGAGGAAAAAAATCAACAGCAAGCTTAAATGATGAGCATGAGAATCCGTGTTCTTTTACTTCTAGTGTATGCATTCTTAATTGAAATGGCACTATGTTTATTTTTTTCAAGTATCTACCTGTACAGAGAGAGGTTGGTGGATATAGTCCTTAAAATGCTAGCGAGTTAGCTAGAGTGAACCTTGAACTTTTTTTGTTACAAGGACAACCCTACTTAAAGCACTTGGGTGAGCTAAATGACAGGAACAATAACTGCCTGTGCAGAGCTCTGGGTATGAGAGGAAGGGGGAGTGGCTTTTTCTGGTACTGTGTCATCCTGCAGTGATGCAGTGAGAAGTTGCTAAAAGTGTTTCTTGGCTTGCTAAGTTGATCTGCTAAATTTTCACATTTAAAAAAGTGATCTTTAAGAAAATAAATCTTAGTTATATAATTTCAAATTGATGTCTGAATCTGTCTTGCTACAGATGTAATAGATCAGCTCATTAACAGCTTCAGCTGGAGCTGTTTGATGCTTGTGGCTGGGGGGGGGGTTGGCACAGTAACTCTATTTGTATTATCCAGTCTTGCAAGTCTTGGTGCTGAGTTTATGGTGACTGCTGGAAGAGGAGCATATAGAACTTATTATCTAATTTTGGCTATCCAGTCCTGTATAACAGATCTTATAATTAAATTGAGCTGTCCTGAGGTTTTGGAAATCTTGAAGGAATTGTAATTGATGAGTGTCTCTGAATGTGCAGAACATACAACTGTTTTGTTGACCTCCATTCTTGTGCACCACTAACGTGATTTATGGTGTATTCAAGACAGAAAGCTTTGCTCTATTTCTGCTACCCATTCTTACAGTTCAGGAAGTAAACTCTCAATTAAGTTTTCTAAGTAAGCCAATAGTGTGGAAATCTTTAGCCTCACAGAAGAGGTTTGTTCTTAGAAGAAAAAAATAAAATGTTGCTGCTGAATCATGAGACTCCTTCCATAGCCTTAGTAAATTTCTGCTGTGTGATTTTGTTTGTAAACACGACTCTCCTGAGCTGGGCTGTGTTGATACTGATGAACCTATCTATAATGATTTAAGGTGATTTTACAGTGGTGAGTTTCCCTTTAGGTATCCATTCTCAAATTTCTACTTCAGAAGTAGCTTCTGAAGAGGTTAAGATTTGAGCCATTAGCAGCTGGAACATTTGTGCCTTATGTGTACTCTCTGAATTATGTATAAAGAAAGCCTACTGACAATGTTGTAAGATTCTGAAAATTAAACCATCTAAATAGGCCTAGACAGACTGGAGGAGTGGGCTAGTAGGAACCTCATGAAGTTCAAGAGAGAAGTGTAAGGTCTTGCACCTGGGAACGCATAACCCAGGAGTGCAGTTCAGACTGGGATCCACCTGGCAGCCCAGTGGAAAGGGACCCGGGGTCTTGCTAGATAACAGGCTCAACATGAGTGAACAGTGTGCTGCAGCAGCAAAGAAAGCCACCAGGATGCTGGGCTGCATAAACAGGGGCATCACCAGCAGAGATAAAGAAGTTATCATCATCCCACTCTACTCGGTGCTTGTCAGACCATACTTGGAGTATTGCATTCAGTTTTGGTCCCAGCTCTACAAAAAGGATGTGGACAGGCTGGAGAGGGTCCAGAGAAGGGTCATAAGGATGATTTGAGGGCTGGAGGACCTTCCATATGAGGAAAGGCTGAGAAGACTGGGTTTGTTCAGTCTTGAGAAAAGAAGGCTTTGGGGAAATCTTGTTATCATGTTCCAGTACTTAAAGGGTGGCTACCAAGAAGATGGAGACTCCCTATTTACAAGGACTCGCATGGAAAAGACAAGGGCTAATGAGCACAATTTGCTTCTGAGGAGATTCCAGTTATAAGTTATACACAAGAAAGATTTCTCACCATGAGGTCAGTCAAACATTGGAATAGTCTCCCAAGGGAAGTGTTAAATTCCTCCCCCCCGCCCCGCATTGGACCGTTTTAAGTCTCCGATAGAAAGGATGCTGAGACAGAGGCTCTGTCCTGTGTTGCCTTTGAGGTCTGATACTAGATCATATGAAATGTAGTAATCCTATAAATCTGTTCCTTGGTATCTTGATAAAGAAGTGTGAATGTTTCATGTGGATAAGGTGGTCTTATGTGTATTACTTTGGTCTTATTTTCACCATAATATTCAAATTTAAGTGTTGGGGTTTTTTTTATCTGGATGGGTTTTGTTAATTTGTTTCTATTTGGTTGGGTTTTTTCTTCTGTGATGGCTGCTCTTTGGCACTTAAGCCACTTGTAGCCCAGGAGAATCTCTGCAACATTTTATGTTTGGAGTAATGTCAGGTGCTTGCTCCCCCTGTATTTTTAACAGTTTCCAAAGATACTTTGTCAACATGCCATTGCACTTGGTTGTACTCAGTGTTATATGCAAAAAGCAACAAGTCTTGTGAAACCTTCTGAGCATTTTACATCCAAAACTGTTGCCTAGTGAATGCACCAGACTTGGTTTTTGCTTTCAACAGTGCAGGCAACAGGTTCTATTTTTTAAAAATTCTAGCAATTTGTAATTTAAAATAAGCTTATAGGAAATTTATGTCTTTATAATCCTCACCAACATTTCCCAGCCTTTTTAAGTCCAATTATTTTTTCCAATTTTATATCTGAAGAGAACAAAGGAAAGTGTCGCTGGGTTTTCTTGATGAAATAAACTTAGAGATAATCTAATGGCCTAAGTTCTTAATCTACCTCATATGTTGCTTAGTCTTGTTCATCCTCCTGCTATGTACAAAAACCTACTTTGCCTAAGTTACTTTCAGTTTCAGTTGTAGCTGTTAGATAAAGATGGTAGCTTGTCTTTGAGCAACTAGTCTGAAAGTGCAGATGTGCTAGGTTTAGGGATAATTCTCTCCCTTTTCCCCTATTCAAAAAGTTCAGCTGAGTAAAACAGGATCTTTCCAAGAATGTTGGTAAAGCTGGCAGAAAAGCTTTCTTCCTTACCAGGTGAAATGAAATCTAAACCCTAAGAACAGTGGGGTGAAGTGTGCAAAGAGAACTCGCATACCTGGACACAGAATGTTATGAAAATGGCTGCAGAAGTGAATCTTGTACTGAGGAAGCAGAAGACAGAGTCAGTTCCTGGCTTCTCTGATAGGAAACAAACTCTGACCCTTAGTCTTCAATACCCCTGTTAAAAACGTAAGGCTATTCACCCACATTTGCAAGAAACTCTTGAGAAATTATATATGTAAGTTTAGATTTTTAAAAGCAGCTTAAAAAGAAATATCTTAAAAAATCAGCAGTCCGAACTGCTTAGATTCTTATTAGGGGAGGGAGTTATGCATAACAGTTCTGAAAATTTCATTTACTATGACAAGAATCTGCCTATGGGCTCACTGATCACTAGGTCTGGCTTAGAACAGAGAGTCTTAGTAAAAAAACAAAACAAAAAACCCAGCAAACATCTTGTCTTCCTTTGTAGCTTTGGCAATTCGGTGGCAGTTTTAAAATTAAAGGATGGGAGAGAATTGAGTGCTCTATTGTATTGCTTAAAACTATGCATAAGTAGATCTTGCCGGCTTAGTAAAAATACCAGCTTTAGCATAAGGATTTTTCTCAAGCATGTTTTGGTTTAATATTGTCACAATTCAGTGCTAATGGATCTCTTAAAGTGATTGAAGAAGTTTAGAGGAACCTTAAGGGGGGAAAAAAAATCAGCCTAGCTTCCTTTAACTCAAAGTTGTGACTGACAGCCAGTGCCATTCCATCCCGCTGCGGTCTTGGTGTTTCTTAACCTGAGGACAGGGCAATAGCCTGTGTGCTGGTCTTGCAGTGCAGATCAAGGTCAGTATCTGGAAGACAGTTCTGCAGTTCTTGTTTAATGTATTTGGTTTTTTTCCTGGCCCTTCTGCCATCTCTCCCCCAGCTCCTCATTGTATGTTGGATGCAGGATAATTGGACCATGAGCAAGCTTTAAAATGTCAACTTCAGTACCATGTCAGTTACTCAGAATTGCCTTTATCCTTGCTTTTCACCTCTTCCCACTTAGCAGTTTGCTGTTTGGCGAACAGTGGCATGCACAGCTCCAGCTAATACAGAGTAGCTACTGTAAACTTGTATTCTCTTACAGATCCACAAGTATTTCTAAAAAGAAAATTCTTTGCTTTACTTGTTTTATATTCCTCTCAAGCTGTTTGTCTCCTACCTCTCTGAATCTGGAGATGGGTTGGCGGAGGGAAGTATTTACCATAGTGTTTTGCTCTCTGAAGATGGCTGCTTATGATACAATTCCCAGTGGTTCCTGTCCATACCAATCAGTTATTTTCCAGTTACACTTATTTGGGATTCCTTAGTGTTTTTCTAGTTTGCTAACAAATGAGTGTAATTTGGTGTTTAGTTTATGAAATGGGTAAGAATAACCAAGGCCTCAGGCCCAACTGCAGGTGGCTGAGGCTCTCTTACCAAACTCTGGGACTTTCCCTCTGGCTTTGTACAAAAACTGGAAAGGGAATCTTGAAGATGTATCTAAGAGAAGAGGTATCACAGATGGGTAATGTTCTCTTTTTTTTCTTATAGGCTTGGAAGAATATTGTTCTCAGAGCCTGAGAAATCTGGACTTACAAAGTGCTTACTACCTAGAGGAATATAAAGCGTGGATAATTGTCACTTTCTTGCAATCAATTTTATGGTATTTGTACCTCTTTTTCTGTAGTTTTAGAGCAAGAAACACCATGAGCACCGTAAGTATTTTAGTACTGAATGCAACCCTGATTCTTGAAACATCTTGTGTAAATGTTTTAAGGGTTTGTAGTAATTACACTGGAATATAAGCATATTAGAACTTCATGTTCTGTGATACTCATGCTTTTTAATCTCTGTAGGTGCTAGCAGTTCAGAAATGTTTAGAATATGAGCAAAAAACCTTAGGTCAGACTGACTCCACTGGTTGGCTGGAAGCATCTGACATAATTGTGAGCTGGTCTTCTCATTTGCAAGCCACCCTGATATATTTTTCCTTTGTGACCCTACTGGTGAGGTATATATGGGGTCATGTCTTTTCACAGGATCACAGAATGGTAGAAGTTGGAAGAGACCTCTGGAGATCAGGGCCCCCTAAAGCAGATTACACAGGAGCACCTCCAGATGAGTTTTGAATGTCTCCAGGGATGGAGACTGCACAGACTCCCTGGGCAGCTCAGTTACCCTCGGAGTAAAGAAATGTTTTCATATATTTAGGTTAAACCTCCTATGTACAAGTTTGGGATCATTGCCCCTTGTTCTGTCACTGGACCCCACTGAGAAGAATCTGGCCCCATCCTCCTGACACCCCCTTTAGATATTTATAAGCATTAATGAGATCACCCCCTCAGCCTCCTTCTCTCTAAGCTAAACAGACCCAGCTCATGCAGCCTTTCTTCATGTGGTAGATGCTCCAGTCCCTTAATCATCTCAGTGGCCCTATGCTGGGTTCTCTCCAGTAGTTTTTTTGTCCCTCTTGAACTGGGGAGCCCAGAACTGCACACAGTGCTCCAGATCAGGCCTCACCAGGGCAGAGTAGAGGGAGAGGAGAACATCCCTTGACCTGCTGGCCACACTCTCCTTAATGCACCCCAGGATGACATTGGCCCTTTTGGCTGGGAGGGCACATTTGCTGAGATGTGTTCAGCGATGACACGCTTTTGTGTGTCCTTGTGTGCTTTCATCGGTGCTGCAAATATGAGGGCCATGTTAATACTAGTTCTAGAGAGGACAAAGCCTTAGTATTTTCTTTTAGACCCAACGAAAGCGCCGTGGAGGAGCAGTTAATTCTAGGCAAGCTCGGAAACGAAACAGGCTGGTGGCTTCTACCACAGAAATGGCTTCAGAAGCAGAGCCAATAGAACTTGAAGAAAGTGGTAAGCTTTCTTTTTAACTTGTTAAGAACAGAAATTGCTTTGGGAGGGTTGGGGTCCCACTTACTGTGTATTTTTTGCCAGTGTCTAGGTCCTGTATTGGGGAGGAAGGGAAATGTCTAGTTTTAGGTTGCCTCTAGGATGGCATCTATAAATCTATTGATTGGTTACTGAGGTGCAATACATTCACCAGTGGTGACACATGGACTGTGTAAGAAAGGTATTCAAATGCTGCTCAGATATCTGAATGTCTGGTCTGATGAACCAGGAGTCACTGCATCTGCCAGTACAGATAGTAGGAAACTAAGTTGGGTAACTCCCAAGTTTTAAGAAGATAAATAAGTTTGTCATTAGTCATGCCCCTTTGCTTAAAGGAGAGGGAGTCTGTACATTTTTTACAAATATGTTTCAGAATTTTAGAAGTCTCATTTTAAAAGCCTTCTAAATGGATATATAAACTGTCTTCTGAAATCCTAGGAAAGATTAAAAGTAACTGTTCGTCTCCAGGTAATTAGATTTTTCAGTTTTTGAATTGAAACGTTTTGGGTTTTTGTGTTTTGACTGTGAAAGTTTGTAATACTTATGACACATGAATATTTACATCATGGTACTGTAAAGTTATTATATCCCATGTGATTCATGTTTTATTCTGTGGGATAAACATTCTCCCATATTAGATGAACTTGCTGTGTACCTCCCACAAGCAGTTGCCTCACAACAGAACTGTATGAGACGCTAAGCTGCTGTTCCTCCTGCATTGCGACATGCAGAAGACAGTGTCCAGGTCATGCTCTACATGGACTGTTGAGGGCAAAGCTTGAGTGAAATGTTGGATACATACCTCAAGAGAGGAGGCAGAGGGCAAGGGTGAATCATACCGCAGCCTATTGTATAGTGGAAAGGAGGTTTATTCCTTTGTGATCTCTGATCTTGATTCTAATATTGTGTTTTGAAGCTGGTGAAGAAGTAGTAGATCTCACATGTGAGTCGTCTGAACCTGTAGTTGTTGATCTAACTCACAATGATTCTGTTGTGGTAAGTAGAGAATGGTTCTCTTATCTAAATCTTGCTGTCAAATTTGTTTTGTGTTGTGTTCCTTGATAGAATTTAGCTTTATGGATAAGCTGTAAATTCAAAGTTGACTTGTCAGTATGTGAATGCCATGGGGTACAGGTCAACACTGAAGGTGCTCTGGAGGTGCACCTGCAGATAGCGAAGAGGGTATTTTAAAAAAACCTTTTTGATCCAGAACATGGGGACTATATATATATATATGTGTATCAGTCTTGTGTCATGTGACATAAGGTGATGCAATTTAAATTTTAAGCCATCCCAGAGATACCAAAGTTATAGACCAATGATCTCAATAAAGTGAGGGATGGAACAGTATATGCAGTTTTCAGCTGCCAAATTAGTTTAACTTTCTCCTGTCACAGATGCCAAGTGTGACCGCAGTTGACTATGGTATGATCTAGTTCCTTTATTACTCCAAGAAGCCTTAAAAAAAACACTTTTTGTTTTTACTGCTTTTTTTCATGGTATAATAGTATTCAGTGCAGGCCACAATGTATTTTTTTAACCTGTTATAGGATGCCACTGCTGCTGAGCAAAACCACAGAATGGTTCTGCTAGGATTGTTCACCAGCTTTTGCAAAGGAAAGGCCTGGAATTTTACCACATAATCTGTGTTACTCCATCTCTAGTTCCACCAAAGACAATACCAGCTTTGCAGCTGTTTTGTTTTTCTTCTTCTTCAGCTCTTAGTCTGATATGAAGTGTTTATGGATCTCACACCTGAATGTGCCTTTTTGGGAGGGGATAACAGGGGAAGAAACTCCTTCGGCCTAAATCAAATTAGGGTTCTGAAACTGAGGAGTAGGGAAGAGGGTATGCAAGAGGGTCATCAGCTGCCTGCATTTCTATCCCTCTGCAGCAGCATGAGCAGAAGCAACTCCTTATTTCAGAGCAGCAGCTAATTTACTACTATATTTAATGTTATAATCAAAATAAGAGATTCTGCCATTCTTGGCTTGTTTTGTTGTAAGTGCTTATAGCTAAGCTGGTGTTCATATCACACTGAAGTCTAATTTTATTTTCTTTTCTCTCCTTTATCATATATGTTGGTGCCAGATTGTTGAAGGTGAGTTGATGTTTTACAATTAATAACAGAATTGTCCACTTAGAATTTTTTTCTTTTCCAAGGAACATGAGCAGCATGGATTGGAACTGTGTTTACCAAAAGGCAAAGGATAGTGCCAAAGTATCTGGCCAGTCTGTCTCAGAATGGGTCCTGTCTGTATTTGATAGTCACTGTCAGAGCCTGTTAAAAGTATTTGAATTTAAATAACATCAAAGCTGCTCAAAATATGTTTTCTTATTTTCCTAATACAGAAGTTCTATAAGCCCAAAGTTGGTAATAATTTTAATTAGCACCGGAATGTCTGCTTTGAATAAGGAAATGTCAAAAGCATTTTTTAGTCTTTATTGCAGTGAAGGAGCTAAAGAAGAAAGTTATTTGTGGTTATGGTATTCACTTGCATTATCTAGTCTAACACACTCCAGATGTAGTACTAACAAGTATTAACAAGTGTGGATTTTTTTGTACTTTAGGTGTTGCGATTGTTATAGGTATAAATAAGTTAATTTTTTCACCTTTCATACCTTGTTCTGATTGTAGTATCTGAGATGTATTAATATGTTGTTAGCTGTTTACTTAGTATTGCTTTCTGTGTTCTGAATGAAGCAAGGGCCAGTCTATGACTAACTTACCAAAATTAAATGACAGAGAATCAGCGACAAAGGAGAAATCTCAGGCTAAGGAGCCAGCGGCAGTCAGACAGCTGTGTTCTGAGCAGTGATGATGAAGATGAAACGAGAGATAACGATGTGTATGTGACAAATAAAGTGTCTCAAGAATTGGGACCACTGGAAGATGAAACTGCAAGTTCGAAGTATGTATGCCTTATCCCCTGCCAAACATGGAATTTTTCTTATACATACAGGAATAAGTTATTTTGCTGTAGCTGGGCTTATCTTTGAAGTCTTAACTTATTCTTGTTAGTTCCCACTATGAGCAAGTGCAACATCCCATTTTGCAAGATGACTAAATTATACCATTTGTACTTCAGGATAAAAAGCCAGCCCACGGCAGACACAGAGCTTTTCATACAGCCTTATACCACATACCTGTGAGTATGGCAAGGAAGGAGATTAGTCACAGGCCATAGCTCATGTGTTGCACTTCTCATGCAAAGCCCTAGTAGTGATGTTAGGTATGGAAATATTTTCAGTGGTGTAGATGAGGTTTGATATCCTGAGATGGGCAGGCAGCAGCCTGGCAAATTCCTGTAAGAAGTATTATTGACTGACAGGTTTTTGACACACTGTGCCACTTAACTGCTTCTCTTGAGGCAGTAACCATTATTCCCAAGGTATATTTGCAAGGTGACTGTGGAGGTAATACTGTTAGGGCCAGTTTTTGTTCTGTGCTGTGTATGTCATGGAGTTTTAAGTTTGGATTTGAGATGGGCTAGGTGCCTGCATGGTAAAGACCCCATTCTGTGGAGAAACAGGAAATGCCTGCTGGAGGAGCACACCTTTATGATAAAAAAGATGCAATGCATTAGACTAATTCAATGAAATCAGGTGTCCATGTGACTAGGAAAGACAAAAACCATCCCATTTGTGGTAGAAATGTTTTTTTGAAGTGGTTGGTTGGGGAGGAAATAACGGTTTTAATAAATCTGGTGTGCTTGGAGCCTTTTATACTACTGGAAGGCAATATAGGAGAGAACTTGAATATCGACGATTTGGGTGTCAAGTCTTAAATATGACACCTAAAGGGCTTATACTATTCTAAAATGTAGTGCATGTTGCCAGTGGATTGTAGGGTTTTAAATTTTGTTTTTAGTATATAGATGAATAAATCCCACAAATCAGTTAATTGCAAAAAATATTTTTTTGTTCCTTCAATCTCAAGCTTCTTGGTTAAAGAATGTGGCTTCTTAGTCTGTTTAGGTAAGGCTGGAACAACTCAGTGCTGCAGCATTTAGCATGGACAAGAAGATGCTGATGCTGAAGATTGCTACAGAGCAGTCTACAGTGTTACTCTGTAGTGTTAGACTGCTCTTATGTGAAGGTTAACATCATTTGTAATTAATTACTGAGGTGGTATTATAGCTGTTGCATAAAGAATTTGAGTAGGAAAACTGGGAGAATTATTTGAGTTAAATTATGTATGGGAAACTAGAGGTAGATGTTAGTAGTGCTCACTGCTTGAATTTAAGATTACAGGGTAAAGGATATCTCAGGCTTTCTGTTTGGTTTAATAAATTACAAATAGTTGCTTAGCATGGGCAGTGACATAGTGAAGTAAGGTGTCTATGGTAAAGACTTAGGAAAGCACCTTACTGTGATTGTTTAAAATAGAGATGAATGTGTAAATATAAATGGCAGGAAGCTCTTTCTCTTTCTGGTAGAGCCCTGTTCAGCACTGAGGTGTGACATGTTCCTTACACAGAGCAGCCATGTCTGTTACTGCATGTGCCTGCAGTACAGCTGTCCTGGAGGGTGAAGGCAGGAGAGATGCATCTGTAAGCACTGCAGCCAATGAGTCAGCCTTTTTTCTTCTCTGAAATATACATTTATTTTTTAGTATTTCCTCATATTAGTTTGCCCCTGCTACATTTTATAAGGAAGGAATGCTTGGATTAATATGTTGCTGAGCTGTGATGTTGCCAAATTAGAATGGAGGTGTTCTGATTTCTGACAGCCTATTTCACTTCTGGAAAGAACAACTAGATGTTCTTGGTTTTGTTTTTGTTACAAAACTGTTCTTTATGACCAGTTGAAGATGAATGCTGCCAAACGCATGCTTCACAATGCTGTAGGCTGCTGTTAATTGCAATAATAGAGCAGGGTGACTAACTGCACTTTGCCCCTGATGAAAACCAAGACACTGTTTCCTTTCCACCCTCAATGCATGGTGACATTAATGGACAGGTGTTCTTTCTGATTTTGTTCTTTCTCCCACTAGGCCGTCTGGTACCGTTAGCTGTCCCATTTGCATGGATGGCTACTCAGAGGTAAGGGTCCCCACGGCATCACTTTGTTTTTTGTGGGAGGGAGAACGAGGCAGAGGGTGAGCTGTGCAACTGTTGGGTTACATGAGATGCTACAGACAACTGGCTTCAAGTGCAGACCTTCCTCTGAAGGTCAAACTAGTGTGTAACTCAGTCATTTGAGCTTGTAGCACCAAGTCATTTCTTAGTCGTGTACGTAGACGGAGAAACACTTTCTAAGAGGGCACTGAAGGCTCCTGGGTTCCTTATTACTCTAGTAGTCATGTATTGAATACAGGTACTCCAAGTCCTCTTTGCCTGGTGCCAAGAGACCAACACAGTTGAGTTCTTTACTCCAAACCCTCCAAAATCCTGTTGTGGTTTCTTCTCTTCCAGATTGTGCAAAGTGGACGACTGATTGTGTCGACCAAATGCGGCCATGTCTTCTGCAGTCAGTGCCTCCGTGACTCCCTTAGGAATGCCAACTCTTGCCCAACATGCAGGAAGAAACTCACTCACAGACAATATCATCCCATTTATATATGAATACTTCACTTCTACTTCTCAGGACAGACTCAACTGGATTTTTTGGGGGAAAATGTCACATTGTCAGTGCTCTGAAGATTTAAAGAGCAGCAGGTTGTGCACACTTCCATTTAAAACTGTGTGGGTTTTTTTTGGTTTGTTTTTTTTGGAGAATACCTTGTACATGTATAGACAGCTTTTTTTTATGGTCCAAGCTGCTCCTTGTTATGTCCCTGACTATAAAGTTAAATTTGAGACTGTCTCTAAACTAGACCAGCAGCTATTTTCAGTAAGGAAGCAGCTCAGCTAATCCATTTGCTTCTAACTTTTTAATGTTTAAATAAGAGGGGTCTGAGTGTTTTGATATTTCTTACTCTTTC